GTGTTTGTTTGACCCAAAAGTGGTTTAATAATTTTTAAGCAAATCAATCAATATAGATGAAGGGGTAAATCGTAGTGGAAGATAATAAACTCTGGGATGATCTTGAATATAGAATCAGATAACAAGGAGATAAACAAAGTTGATGAGAGAAAATGATAAACTTCTATTAGATAAGAGAGACAATGTTAGAGAGAGAGAGAGAGAAGAGAGAGATTGTATTTTTCCTCCCCCCTTTTACAAAGCTTAGATCCTCTTTATATAATAGAGAATCCTTACTCGAATACAAAAAGGCAAAGAATAAAGTACATATTGTGGAGCGGCCAGCGTGGTCGTGGAGTCGTCCCTCTTGTTGCTCACAGGTCGCTCTTCTGACCGGGCTCACGCACACTTGGTCGGTTGTGATGTCTTGAAGAACGTAGTTGGTCAAATTCGACCCTATACAGTTAGTCCCTCCGCTCGTCGGGGTCGCAGCGAATGCGTCCTCGATGAGGGAATCGATTCCTCCGTATCGGAAGAGTTTGACTTTGTCAATGACTTGTGACGTGACAAGCGGGGGACAGTAATCATGATTGTCAGATCGTTGAAGCGAAACGCCTTTCCTCGTGTGACGTCAGCATTCATATGCATCATCATTGTGCGTGTTCTCGAGGCAAGGGGATCAGAAGCTTTTGGAGCCTGGTTTCCTGTGCCGATTCGACGTCTGCTTCTTTGAATCTGGCGCCAATCAGCCCTATAAATAGGAGAAGGGTTCAACTTGATTCAAACTTTGGTCATTTGCAAGAGAATTCTAGACCTCCAATACATATTTTCTCATTCTGGTGTGTTTCCCCTTGATCGAAACCCTCTTTTCTTTTTATTCTTTTGTTGGGTTGCGCTTAACTCTTTTCTTCTTTGAAAACCATGCATCAAACTTGCCGATCTGACGAGAGGGTCCCGGCGATTTCTCCTGCGAATGTACCGCCATCTTCTGATGGTGGAGAAGTGGGGGAAGAAGACGTCAGTCCTCTCACCGTGGAGGCATTGTTGCCAAAACATATATTATCCCCGAGTGATTTTAGCAAAGATTCCCCCATTCCGACTCTAGAGTTTTCGGAGTCGTTACGGAACCACTTGGATGACCTCCGCACGAAGTACGACATACCTGCCTACGTAGAGATGGTTCCGGCGGGAAGGGATCATGTGGACGTTCATCGGCCAGGATATTGTGCCTTTTATGAATACTCCTTCTCGATCGGTTATAACCTCCCTCTTTTCCTATTGGCGGAGGAGTTTTGTCAGTTCTACAATGTGTGTCCAGCTCAACTTATGCCGTATACTCTGAAGGTGCTCCGGCTGCTGACCAAGTATGCGGAGTTGGCCGGATGCGAAGTCATGGTTCATCACCTCCTTCATTTATTCAATGCCTGCTATCTAAGGGGGACCATGGTGTATCTGAGAGGCCGTGGTACGAAAGGGTTGGTGGTCAAAACAGACGACCGAGCGAGTCGTGGGTTTTGGCGCAAATATTTTTTTAATAGAACCGAGCACATGGTCTCCAATCCCGCAGGGTTCCCAGAGAGGTGGAACTCGAAACGTAAGTATTATAGTTTGTCAGCTTCTGTGTTACTCGTGACTGTTACCATTCTGACCATTATATTGCAGCTATGGATCACCCGCCCCCGCTTGTTGCCAACCTCAGGGGACGGGTTAAGGGCTTGCTTCCTTACGCGGAAGAGACACGCACTTGGCCTGCCTTCCTGCAGCGTTACGGCCCCAAAGTCTCTTCATGTAGATTGTCGATTTTTGCTTTGTGAATTCTGCAACTTTGCTTACTTATTTTTATGGCGACAGGTCGAGGCGCTTCTGGGAAGAGGGCGTTGATTCCCACTCTGCATCGATTTGACGTTTCCTCGGCTGCTCATGATATACTGGTTGAGTCTGTCCGAGAGGATCCTTCTCCAGCTCCTTTATAGGGGACCACGTCTACGACTATGGTTATGTGGGAGTCGGCATCGCTGGTACCGACTCTGCAACCCGTGGACGGACCCTTTGATGACGGGGAATCGTCAGACAGAAAATGGAGAAGGCTCGAGAAGGGTAAGGGAGTGGCCACCGAGGCCGAGGGAAGTAACGTGCCCCTACCGACGCGCAGACCATTCATGGCCGACGTTATTCGGTCTGGGAGGTCGGCTCGTCAGAGGGGTGCTGCTCCCGGGGCTAGTTTCGCACCTGCCGTTGAAGGGGGATCGTCGACCAACGTCGAGGGACCAGGCGGGGAAACGGAGAGATCGGACTCCGCCCCGCTCAGGAGGATGTCGACGAGTTTGTGGGTGGCCTTACCCACGTGGAGATGACGTCGGATGGGTTCGAACGCCGCATTACAATTCCGGCGGCTTATAACTTGCTGTTAAACAGCGAACAGGCTGCTTCGGCCCTTACCCTGCTGTGTGCCACCTCGGAGAGCAAGGCGCTCAGTACCGTGGAGGATGCGGAGCTGTCACGGAAGATTTCTGGCATGGCTTTGCAGGTAATTCTTTATTCCCTTTTGTCCTTCCGTGTGTTGTAAGATTGATTCGAGGTGTGCTTATNATTGTCACAATCTCATTATATTAAGACAGTACTTGAAAAATTCAAGCACTTGGGCTTTAAAGTTGCAAAGACTCCAATTGATGTGAATCTTGCATTAGCAAAGAACAAAGGACAGAGCATATCACAATCGGATTATGCTCGTGTGTTGGGTTGCCTAATGTACATCATGAATTGTACACGACCAGATATAGCTTGTGCTATAAGTAAATTGAGTCGATATACGAGCAATCCAGGCCAATCTCATTGGATGGCCATGAAACGAGTTTTGGGGTATTTAGTACATACCCAGGACTTTGCTTTGCACTACAATAAATATCCTGCGGTCATTGAGGGATACTGTGATGCAAATTGGATCACCGGATCAACTGATTCCAAGTCCACAAGTGGATATGTATTCACTATTGGTGGAGAAGCGGTATCTTGGAAGTCATCCAAACAAACTTGTATTGCCCGCTCTACAATGGAGGCTGAGTTCATAGCCTTGGATAAAGCCGGTGAAGAAGCTGAATGGCTCCGGAATTTCTTGGAAGATATTCCATTTTGGCCCAAACCGTTGGCACCAATATGCATACATTGTGATAGTCAAGCGGCAATTGGAAGGACTGGGAGCGTTATGTATAACGGTAAGTCTCGCCATATACGACGAAGACATAAAACCGTTAGACAATTACTCTCTAGAGGAATTATCACGATTGACTATGTAAAGTCAAGTGATAATGTGTCGGATCCACTTACAAAAGGCCTAACTAGAGAGGTAGTTGAGAAGTCATCAAGGGGAATGGGACTGTGGCCGAGAACAAGTCATAGTGGCGGTAACTCTACCTAGAAGACTGGAGATCCCAAGATCTAGGTTCAAGGAGATCAAACAAAGTCATTTATGACGGTTCAACATTGTCAACTAAACTTTTGGTCCATTCTCGTGATGAGACAATGTTCAGTACCAAGGATAAAGCATTATGGCTTTTTAATGATTACTAAATTTGATACGGGTATATCAAATAGTGTATCTACGGGATGACACGTTTAGGAATCACCTATGTAAGTGTGAAGTGTTAGCCGCTTCAAGGAGAACATTGTAAGGCCAGTTCTCTACGCACTTATGAAACCAGGCGATGTTCATGGCTGAAACGAACACAACAATGAGAACCAAAGACGGTTAAGGGTTGGTTGTGTGACTTGTGGTTGTCTAGGTATACACTAAAGTTCGACGGTTCTAAGATATCAAATCTACCGATTGATCGAGTATATCCGACATAAGTTCACTACGGAAAGTTCAAAGGGAAACCTACTTATCCAGATGCAATTAATCCTTACTTGCGAATCACACAGTTTTTCATGCATACTTCCGTGATATAGCCATTCCCCATTCATGTGGGGGATTGTTGGGTTTTGGATGTATTTAATTAATATATTAAATACTTAAAAGAGGGTGAATGGGAAATGGAGGGAAATGAAATTTTTGAGTGAAATTTTAAGTTCCCCCCTTGGCAAATGGGCATTGTCCCATATTAGAAGAGGAAGAGGTTTTTTATGGGTATATAAACAGTTGCTCTTCTTCTAGCTCTTAAAGAGTTGAGAAGAAGGCAAGCCTCGCGCCGTCGTCGTCGTCGCTCGCTCGGCTCGGCTCGGCTCGGCTTCGGCTACGGCTTCGGCTACGGCTACGGCTTTGGCTTCGGCTTCGGTTTCGGATTCGGATTCGAATTCGGATTCGAATTCGAATTCGAATTCGGATTCGGATTTGGATTTGGATTTGGTCAAATGATCGATTGATTGATTAACTTTTTGGACCAAATTTATTTGTTAATAGTAAAATATTAATAGAAATGTTATTAAATATTTGTTTTAATAACAAAATATTAATATTAAATCCAATCCGTTTTTCTGTTTTGGTAACAGAAAAGTAACTACCCTCTTCAATTTTCCCTCTTTATTTTCCCTCTTTATTGTTGAGTAAATGGCCATTTATGTAATGGCATTTATGTTGTGGGCGTTTTGCATAAACAGTCATTCTGAAGAGTTGCATCTCTTCAGATTTCAGCCCAACTTTGGCTATAAATACAACACTATTTTGCTCAGAATTTCACTACGATTTTCTGAGTTTCTTCTCCTTCTTCTGCATACTTTTAGCATCAAACAAAGGAAAAAGTAAGTGTGATTTGCAACCGAACTTTGTGTTCGCTGAAACGCTGGGGTTTGAAGTACCACTACACCAGTGTGTAATTCGTTCTATCCTGGGAGGAAATAATCCATAACCTTGGGTACTAGGAGGGGATTAAATTCCTTAAGGAAACACTGTGAATTCAGTGGGCTCGAATTGGTTTTATGTCATTTCTGTTTATGTTCATTTCTGTTTATATTCATTTTTATATTTCCAGAATTATTTTACAAATACAGTCTACTAACAAAATTATTTTAGAAAAAAAAAGACAATATAAAACACGACTTTTATCATCTGAAATTAATTTAAATTAGGTTAATTTGGAGCCATGCAACTCTTAGAAGACCTCCAACGCATACTCTTTCGACATTGTGAACACATTTTCTGTACATTGCATTCTGCACTAGATTTACAAGGAGAGAAACATCTGCCTTTTACTGAGGTAAAGATCTGGAATTAGAACCTGCTCAATCATCTGTATCTCTAAAAGTAGGACTCACATAGCCATCACTTGAATGTTTGAATGAACTGCACAATATGAACAATGAAATTGTATGTTACAAGATACATCATCTTTTTAATGGAGAATTAACCTAAATGTTCGTCCATATATCCAACTGTTTAAACTAAAAATACCCGACATAATGTACAGTATATTTAGATTTCGTGTATAATATGTGTACAACTATATATATCCAGTTTAAAAAAGAAAAAGCAGCCCGATGCATAAGGCATCTCGCATTCATGTAGGGTCGGGGAAGGGCCACACCCAGTAGCGGAGGCAAGATTTCCGTTAAGAGGGTTCAAACAAGGAAAAAGTTATAAAGTTGAAAGAGGTTGTGCTTAGTGGAATTAAACTAGTGACCTCACAGAGGTTTTGAACCCCTTGACCATTAAGCTATGCTTTTGGGCTATGTTAAAGGGATTCAAAATATAATATATATACAGATAAAAAGTAGATTTTGCCTTATATATACAGTGTAATCTTTCGATAAAGGGGGTTCGGGCGAATACCCTTCCGCCCCCCTAAATCCGCCCCTAGCCACACCCAAAGGGTATGATGTATACAACATACCCTAATGCAAGCATTAGTGATGGCTTCCACGACTCGAAACCCTGACCTATAAGTTACACACAAGCAACTTTACCGTAAATAATTTATATATACCGACTAAGCTAGAAAAAATAAACTTTGAATCGAACTGCTATTTGTGTAAAGATTATATATTTTTTAACAAAGAAACTAATGGATGATCAAGTAATCTACCAGCCAGAGTTACAAGGAGAAGGCCAAAAGAGAAAGTAAGCTTGTGAGATAGACACATCTTAGCCATGTAATTAACACACTTTGAATTATCTGCTGATTATTGTAAGAATTGAAAGAAGAAGAAGAGCTAATTGTGTGAATGCATTTTCTTGCTTGATGAAAGGCCCTATATATAGGCTTTTAAAAAAATTTAAATATAAAAATATGCCTATAATTGTATTCACTGGTAGTGTTCCACTTGCCATTTTAAGTAGTGACATACTGACATATCATGACTCATGAGATATATAATATTATTATAACGGCGGCTTTTAAATCTTTGTTCAATAAATGTTATCTACTTATCTTGTTGGCGGGTTTACTTTGGAGACACCTAAGTTCTTGAACGTGAAATGCTTTGTGTACCGAGCTACCTTTTATTTTCTCTATCTCAATTTATTTAGATTTGAAATTCGAACGAGTTTTTCTTTGATGCGATTATTTATATCTTTTTAATATATTAAATTCTCAATTATGATATATAATATTTTATATGTAGCTTTTAAATATATAAATTTTATTTAAAAAAAAAAAGCTTAAAGAATTCATGTTCGAAAGCATAGTCAAAATTAAAAAATTAAACTCTCGAAATTTGAAAAGTACCAAGTATGTTGAGACCTAGGGAGTAATTGATTTTGCACATCAGTACAGAGGTATGATTATATAAAATAACTAAAAGGAATGAAGAACTAACCAAGAATGTAACTACTCTATATCGGGAGAAATTCAAAAATAGCTACATTTATAAGTGGTCATTCAAAAATAGTCACAGTTTCAAAAGTAATCGAAATTTAGCCGCTTTTCATGTAAAGATGAATCTGAACGACACTGTTCAAAATCCGAAAAATACTCCAGCATAATATACTGGAAATCCAGCATAAGTATATTGGAACTCCAGTATATTATAATGGAGTTCCAGCATAAGTATACTGGAACTCCAGCATATTATAACGGAGATCCAGCATAAGTATACTGGAACTCCAACATAATATACTGGAGTTCCAGTATAATATACCGGTCCAGTATAATATGCTGGAAGTTCATACACAGGTGCTCCAATCTCCAGTATATTATGTTGGAACTTTTCACGTGTTGGAGTTCCAGCATAATATGCTGGAAGTTCATACACAGGTGCACCGATCTCCAGTATATTATGATGGACCGGTCCCTGTAGCAGCAAAATAGTGGCTATTTTTCAATAACTTTGCAAACGCTGACTATTTTTCAGTAACCAGTCCGAAAACTAGCTAGCCCGTGCTATTTTAACCTCTATATCTAGAGCTATCAATATGGGTCGCCCAGTCCCCCTAGCCTAGCCCACGCGGGCCTTGGCATTTGATCGGCTAGGTTGGCAACCCATTATTAATGGGGAAACTTACACAAATGTCACAAATAAGTCTCAATTTACTAACATCTAGCCATTAATCATAGACTTACCAAAACTAGCCAAGTACATACAAAAATTAAAAAATCAAATAAATAAGGTTCTTTTTCTCAAAGAATCACATGCAAAAATCACCTTCCATATTTTTAAGCGTGATTAGCAACATTAGATGAAAGACGAAAAGGAAATTTCATGGATGAGGTAGCAAATAAGGTGATGAAATACAAAAAAAATATATAGAATACTCCAAAAATCTAATCAAAAAAGGAACGTTTTCAATGGGTATAGTTGAAATTCATTGAAAACATATAGATAAATCAATAAACAAAATTTGAGTAAGGTTGGAGGTGATTTGGACTGATTTTGTATCAAAATTCGTAATTAAATCGAGTTCAAAAATTCTTTTGCGACACATGTATCTCACACACAAGTATACATGAATATACATGTGATACACAATTGATAAAAATATAATACATAGGTGATACATAAATGATACTCAGTGTGATACACATATTTTTTTTTTTCATGTTCAGTTTTTACTTCGGATTTTCAATTCAAACCACTTCAAAACTTCACCAAATCATCCCAAAACTAAGATTCAAGCTCCTTAAGATGTACCTAATCTATTAATAACACCCACTCAAAAGAAAGCAAAAATTTAATATTTTTTGTTACAAATAGCTAATTGACTAATATTAGTAATATTTTATGAATTAACCAATTTTTCGAATGAGCTACTTTTAAATGGACATAGCTGGTAGTTTTCCTTGTTAATGGCCTTAAAATGGAAGAAATTCAAAAATAGCCAGATTTACCACTGGTCGTTGAAAATAGCCAAGTTTCAAAAGTCATCGAAATTTAGCCACTTTAAATCTGAGCGAAAACACTGTTCAAAATTCGGAAAAATACGCCCGCAAATTTTACGGGAGTTTCAGGATAACTATGCTGGAACTCCCGTAAATTTTACGAGAGTTTCAGGATAACTATGCTGGAACTCCCGCAAATTTTACGGGAGTTCCAGCAAGTATAGTTGTCCAGTATAATATACTGGAGTTTGGAGCACTGGTGCTCCAGTCTCCCGCAAATTTTACAGGAGTTAGCAAAGTATACCGGTCCAGCATAATATGCTGGAGTTCGTACACAAATGCACTACAACTCCCGTATATTATACTGGACCGGTCCCTTTTGCAGCAAAATAGTGGCTATTTTTCATTGACTTGATAAACGCTGGCTATTTTTTATTGACCAGTGTGAAAACTGGCTACACCATGATATTTTAACCCTTAAAATAGTTAGGCATCCCTGTGTGAGCCACAGGCCGGCCCATATATATTTCCATCTTATATTGTCTTTGATCCAAAAAATGAAGTTTGGAAAGTTTGCAGAACTTCTGTGCCTTCCCCTGAATTATTCCATTTTAGCCCGCGCCATAAACTATTTATATTTGGTAGTCGAAAAAATATAAAAATTTATATAATTTTTATATATAACATACATAATGTATACATATACGATAAATATATAAATTTTATACATTTTTCGGCTATTATTTTTACGACAGCTATGCAGTGTCATTTTTTCTTATTCTCCCGTACGGCTACGCAACCTAATAGGTCCTAGTCGTTTGGGCTTGGCCCATGTTTGGTGGTGGTAGCCCAATTTAAGAAAAAGAAAAGAGCATTTTCTGTTATTCACATTTCTGCATGATGAAAATTGACTTGCAGAGATTGTAGTGTCTTCTTTTTAACTTCTACTCGACTAAAGAGAGATTTTCAATGTGATGATTTTAGTAGGGACTTGTGTTGTAGTATGGGAAATTTTGTCTTATGTTGCTGGTTTCATGTTGATACATTAAGGACAGCCTGTGCTTTAAGCTCTCGCTATGCGCGGGGTTCGGGAAAGAGTCCGACCACAAGCGTTTATTGTACGCACCTTTATCCTGCATTGCTTTCACGGCTCGAACCCGTGCAATGCTGGTCACATGTAGGGGTGTTCGTCGGTCGGTACGACACGGTATTTAGACATTTCGGTTCGGTATTTTCGGTATTCGGTTTCTTAAAATCCTATACCAATACCGTACCTAATTAAATTCGGTATGGTTCGTTTTTTCTCCTTTCAGTTTCGGTATATTCGGTTTGGTAACTTCGGTTTATTCGGTTTGAATACTAACTAGTGCATAGAGCCATAGACTCTAATATTCTTAATTAAAGTACTCAAAAATACAAAACTATTAATGTTTGTTGACAAAAGTTTTGTCCAAAACTAGCAAATATCGACCCAAATAGAGAAAATTATACATAAAAGAATATTTGATCATTAGAAATATTTTGTTACTTGTTTATAGTTAATTGATGAACTTCGAGAATAAAAGAAAGTAAAATTTTAGATTTTTTATATTTATGTTATAATTGATAATATATATTTTGTGTAATATAATATATATTTCGGTACGGTATCGGTATTTCGGTATTTTATTTTAAAATACCAAATACCATACCTAATACCATTTTTTTTTAAAAGTTAAACCAAATACCAAAATACCGTATACCAAATACCAAAATTTTCGGTTTCGGTAGGGTAATTCGGTATTTACCAAATTATGCACAGCCCTAGTCACATGGCAACAACTTTACTAATTACACTAACTACGGCGGATCCAGGATTTAAATTCTATGGGTTCAACATTTAAGGTTCTTGACATTGAGCTTATTATATCTTTGACGTTATGGGCTCATATCTACTATTTATTACAATTTTAGTAAATTTTTATATACAAATTTACACTCAACATCGAAAGTTATGAGTTCAATTGAACCCGTAGATACAACGCAACTTTCGCCCCTGGTTACGCAAGGCTCCCCTTCTTCATGTTTTATACATAGTGCTTATAGAATAAATACTTCGTTGGTTTCTTATTGTATTTTTTGACTCTGGTGGTGTATTTTTGTATCTGATAATTGTTACATAGTATCTTATACCATGCCAGGAATTTTTCATACTAGAAATCCTCCCC